AGTTTACGCTGATCTTGTGGTATCTTTGCAAGGGCTTCGGAAAAGGCAGTAGCCGCTTTAATCACATGTAAAACCTTCTCAAGATTCTTCTGCGCCTTATTACTTCTTGGTTTCTTTTTAACGGCACGCTCAGCATCCTCTTTCAACAGCAGCAGTTCATCCATGAGAGGATAGACATCCATGCTGCGCTTTCCCACAAAAAGATACTCATTAACATTCTGAATGTGACGGCAGACAAGTTCAGAAGGACAGGTGCAGCAGTCTTGCAAATGCCATCCCGGTGGGGGATTTAGAGCCTTTCCAAAGTCCACAAAATGTGTCTTGGAAGCGTCCGTCTGTGACTGTACTTCAATCACAGTAGAAAGCACATCGTGATGCCGTAAATATTTCATAAAAGGTGGTGTGTCATCCAGCTTCCCAAGTAAGGAGTGTGTGGTGCAGAAGACATGAACAGCGGCGCGTAACATTTGCTGTGCATTGAAGCGCCGTAGTTCTTGCAGACTTTCCCACAAATGACGATCTGGCTGGTCTGTATTCACCCACGCGTGTTTCAAAAGTTCCTGTGCAGAGGGACGTTGTTTTGGGTCTTGTGTAAGGCACGCGGTTATAAACGCCTTTGCAGTTGGTGAAATTGAATTCCATATGTCTTCTGAAAAACTCCATTTGTTTGATACAATTCTTCGAAATGTATCCTTGTACGAGCCAGCACCGAATGGCATTCGTCCACTGAGAAGGATATATGTAATTACACCCAATGACCATATATCACACTTTTCATCATATGGTTCACGCTGAGTTAAGTAATACCCCACATTGATTACCTCTGGGGCAATATAGGATGGAGAACCACAGCATACACGACTTGGGATCGTACCTGCAAGACCAAAGTCAGCGAGACAGATATCTGAAAGATATGATACACCATTAGCAGAGGAATCATCCTTGTGCCGAAGAAGCAAGTTTTCTGGTTTAAGATCACGATGTATGATGCCTTTGGAGTGTATATGTGCAAGCGCTGAAAGTAAGTTCTTCACCAAGTCAGCTGCACTCTTTTCACTGTAGTGCGATAATCGCACAATGTGGTTAAAAAGCATACCACCATTCAAAAGATCCAAGACAAGATATATTCGTGACTCACTTTCAAAATGATCGATAAGCCCAACAACGTGCGGATGGTGACCAATTTTTTCCATTACTCGTATTTCAAAGTCAAGACTGTCAATATCTTTCGGACCAGCTTTTCCCTTGTTTACTACCTTTACCGCAAACTCCTGCTTGGTCTTACGATCTACACACTTGTAAACAACAGCGTATGCCCCTTCACCGATGGGATCATTATCCGTCAGGGCGTATTTTTCGGTAAAATCTATTGATGAGTGGTCTCCCATGATGCCTCGCTAGCTATCACCTAATGATTATAAAAAGGGATAGAGAGAAGAAGTACACCATAAAAGTAGTTAGAAATAATAATAAAAAGTTTAAGATTATTCACAAATAATATACTAATAATGTTTTTTATTTGCCTTTTACACTCTCGTAAGAAGAGCTCCTAGTGGATATAAAAAACAAACCAAGAAGAGACCAAAAACGGTATATAAGATTTCCATTTTATGTCTGTAATTGTAATTGAAAACAATAAAAGGAGGAGGTCATTCTGGATCGCGCTTCCGTAGAAAGAACAATATAATTTAAGTGTTCATCATACAAGTAATAAGTATATACAAATGGATGTTTTATTCTAAACAAACATAGAAACACTCAAATACCTACACAAAAAGAGAGAAACAAATTGTATGCAAAAGGAAAGAACCATCCTCGAAAGAATCAAACTAAATGAAACCACAAGAGAATAATCTTAGCCCCACTCTCACCGTAAAAACAGAACAGAAAAACAAATAGAAAGCCCCTGTATTTATCCTCCACGAATTCGAGCCCCATCGTGTATAAAAAAAACAAATCTCTAATGTTTCTAAAATAGTTATTTATTAAAAACATACTAAGAACTGACAAAATGAAAGTGCTGAGAAGCCCCTTTTTAGCCCGCCTCCCGCCCGGGGTAGAGAGGGTGGGGTGGGCTTTCAGAAACTTACGTTTGACAGACTATTAGGAATGAAAAGAACAAATTATCCGAAACGTTAAAACCCCAGTACACGATTTAATACCTAATAACGTAAGACTCGATCATTCTTTTCGCAAGGTGACAGAAAAAGAACGGTCAATGTGTAGTGGTAAATGGAATTTGTTTCAAAGGACCGTAATGAGTAAAAGTGTTTATTATTTTGAATATGGATGGATCTCTCATAGAACCATCACAAAACCAACAACACACACAAGAAGCGCAACAGGGACCATGTAGGAGACCATGATGGTGCTGTCAGGACACAAGATAACCATTACATTTACATGTTTTGATACTTCATTCATTTGGCCCTCAGTTAACTTCGTCCCCTTCAAAGAACTTTTGTTTGCCGTGTGTGGAGACCGACCATCTGCGCAATCAAGAGTATTGTGGGACTGTATTGGGTTGTCAATGCCACTTGGATTAGATGCGGATTGAGAAGTGGCAGCAACAGCAGTATCACGCGGCCCTCACGTTACACCCTCTTCTTTATGTACGGCACTTTGAGCTCCAGGAGAATCTTTGTTTGTTGTTGTGCCAGACTGGTGATATTCAGTCCCAATATTAAGAGTTGTAGGTGTGGGAATTGCACGTACAGTAGCAGCAGCAATAGATTCATCAGTGACCACACCAGTATAAATGATGTGCTGGCTCATATCACAACACTGTAGAGCAGCTTCCTCAAGCCTTTTAATGTGCGTTTTACTCGCAGAATTTGCATAATGACCATCAGCACTCGGTTGTGTCACATGTTCATTCCCAGACGTGTGAGTAGTCTGTTCCTGCACATTTTCTTCGTTCTTCCAAGGATCCACGTACTCTGGATACTCAACAGTTGGAGGTGCGGTTTCCAGCATCCCCATGCACACGTCTCTTAAATAGGGAGACCGAATACTTCCACTCTTGAATACTTCGCCCTTCACATCAATTACTTGGCACTCCTCTAAGCACCTATATCACCTGTCTTTGTCCGTATATCCCTTGTACTGCACCTTCACCTTGTCACAAATTCCATTGATTCTAACATTTCCTTAATAACCCTGGTTGAACTTCAGCTCTTTCACATTCATACACCACCACTCAGCAGCAACCTGGTGGGGGTGATACAGCTGACACCATGTCGACACGCGCCCAAGGACTTTCTTGGATATATTTTTGCCCCAGCATGATGCGGCTGGCCCTGGTGCTTTATAGCGCCGTAGTTTAAGCGCCAACGGGTCTTCAAGAAGAAAAACGTCGTTGACTCTTTGCTTCCTCTGACAATACGAGGTACTGGACCTTGGCACCACGATGAGGTGGCCCGCATTGTCAAGGAATTTACTTGGTTTTTTTTTCCATCATGAAATGCTGCAAGTGTCAGTGCCGTGTAGAACATGCCGGGAGTCTCACCAGTGTACCGACTCATCAGTTCTTCCTTTTCAATGTACCACTCCCAATCCGAGGTTTAAACATTATATCTCTGATGAAAAAACATTCATTGGACAATCGACCATGGTAGCGGTCACGTGTCTTCTCTTCCACAGTGGGGTTTTTTCATCGATCGGATTGCTTTATAGCTACCATTAATATTATCTGCATAAGTCACCATTTCAATTCTAACAATAACTTCATAGGCAAATCCAAGTCCATGCGTATTTTTGTGAACAGCAAAGCGAACAAATCTTCTCGTATTCGCAATCTCTTTCGGCTAAAATGTGATATAGGCAGAGGTTGGCCGTTCGTCGGTGTCCTGAGCACAAGTTTTTACTCTTCGACTCGATGCAGTAAGACCCGAAAAAAAAAAAAAAAAAAACAAAATCAGCAGGAGTAAATGTGGCGGATATAGATCCCTCACCAATAACAAGATCAGTGCACTTACCTTAAAAAAAAAACACAAAATCAGCAGGAGTAAATGTGGCGGATATAGATCCCTCACCAATAACAAGATCAGTGCACTTACCTTTAGGGAAATTCACATCATTACCATTTGTCACAAATTTGTTTTCCTCCCCTTTTTAACACTGAAACGATCTCTGTGTAGTATGATTGCAGCGGGAAAGATTTCCCTCAGCAGGAGATTCCGCTTTGGTCTCATTATCCCAGCCACTTCATCACACGACACTTTCTCTTCCTCTTAACCAAGCCTCACCTTAGTGGCAGGTTGCCTTTCTGGTAACATTTTTCTCTCTATGCAGCAATGAATCACATTATCCACATTCCTTGCAGAAATAGTAATACGAATAGAATGTCAGTTGCCTTCATTCTCAGATTAAGTAGAGACAGCTTACGCCTGCCAAGCACTTTCTCCTTTCTGTGGCAGCTGTTGTACGGAAGCAGCAAAACACTCGCAGGTGCAGTTCAAAGGGACATGTGCAGTCTACAGTAGGTGACGCATGGAGTGTTTCTCCATTTCTTAATGGTGTGAGTGTGTTTGTTTTTGTGTTGCTTTGCATAGATATACGCAGGAAAAAGAAAAGGGGATGAAAGATGAATATAGAGACAGATATTAGATCCAGCATAGAATCAAAGAAATGTATACATTGACGGTAATACTCTCAGAAACAACAACAACAACAACACGGCACGTGCAAATATGAAGGGCTACATACTAAGGGAACCAATGACACTATTACCAAGAGCAGCTGGGTACAGCCTTCGTAATCGCACATCACGAAGTACACCCCGTAGCATGTGTCATATTTCATTGCAATCGAAAAGAGAAGCAAATGCATATTGACTCAGGAGACCCTGTGTGATCAGCAACAATCAAAGAGGAAAGAACAACAAGAAAAAAAAAAAAAACATATCCATTCTTCATCGCTACACTTACAGTAACAGGCGATGAAACTATCATAATAAACCCTGCGTTTCCAAACAAGATGATAGTAGTAGAAATAGGATTGCGTCCACAAGGGAGAACTTATCTTGTAGACGTTTGAAGCAGGAGCCATGACTAACGTACAGAGTAGTCAAAACACATTACTCATTAACCCAGCATGGTCCAGAGACCCAATATAACTAAGATGTATTCATATAGTACGTTATCCCACTCTGATGAATCACCTTCTCCTCCAGAGAAATAAAAAAAAACAAAAAAAAAACAGAATATGGGGATCTCCTGAGACTTCATGCCAATAGATTGAATTGGTGAGTGCTCCCATAAATGGGTCTATTCCAGGCAGACGTTACTAAAGGCGCCCAAACCAAGCAACAAGGTTAGAGAAAAGAATTACATCAATGTGTTTTTTTATAAATACAAAGGTGGAGAAGCAAGAAGTTAGGAAAAAAAGAAATTTACTTTGGAAACGCACTCGCAAGCCAACTCAACTTCAGTGCATCCTTAGCAGGACATAAGTTTCCATAACGGTAGGCGTGAGTGTAGCCATAAGCATCTTGCACTTTCACAAACGCTTCGGAAAGCACACGACATCTGACTGACCTGAGGGATTGAGGGCTGTAATAAATCTCTTTAATCCATAACGTGTGATTTATTATTTTGGGGAGAAACGGTTGCCACCCATCCATAGGACCTGGGAAGTGAAAGATAGCAGAATTTGTGAAAGCTCCTTTAGAGGGAGAAATAAAAAAAATTTTGTTGTAGTCAAGGTCAATAAAACCGAACGGTATACGTTGTTCGGTTGGAACTCCAGGTACTTGAGAAACACTCCAAATGTAAAGCAATGTCCAGATAGACTGATCACACCACCAATCACTCCGTGTCTCCAGCAATCTGGTGTACGCCAGAGTCGCAGCACGAAGCGCCCATACGCGTCCGACATAACCGCCTGAAGTAAGGAAACGGTATTCCTTTTTCTTCTGTTGCGACAAGCGTCTATTTTGTGTTATCGCTGCTGCTTTCCACATTCGTGTATAAAACCAAAGGCACTTTCTATAATGAGGTTTTGGTCCTTTGCGGATAACTAATTCTAGTTGTGGTGCGTAACAAAACGATTCACTTGAGAAAAGTATGGGTGCTGAAGCCTCACCTCGATGCACAGCAGCAGCATCAAAAGCCTCAGCAGTAGGTGCGGTTGTGGCCATGAAGTGTGTCAATGCTTGTTGTACCCTCTGGGCCCCAGTGAAAAGGGTGTCCCCACCATCAAACACAACAACAATGTCATCCTCTCGTAAACCCTCACGATCAATATAATTCAAAATCCATTGGGGCCGATGTGTGTGCGTATAATTCCTCCCGTAGGCAATAGAAATCACAGACACGTTGGAGAGAAACGAGCTAAGAAGCATTTTGCACCAACCCAGAGTCGGTTTTGTCTGAACAACAAGAAAAACCACTCTTGGTTCGTTGCGAAGATTAACTACCTGCATTGACCACGTCGAACGGTCGCTTATCCCATTCAATGAGGCAGGTCTGCTATCCAGTAAGGCTAAAACCAGAAACAGTGACAGTAATGGGGCAAGGATGAATAAAAAAAACAGGAAAAATCGATGTACCTTTCGCCATTGAAGAAAAACTTGTGAAAATAGCTGCATGTGTCTTTAAGGTGGTGGGAAATGGAACAATACTGGATAAAGAAATGAATTCACAGTCAAATATCAAAACGCAAAAGAAGGTAGCGAAAGTACTTTCAAGCCCATGGAGATTAATAAAGAAGTAGTAGGCAATTATCATTCAATGTAATGCTTACAAGGGAAATTTAAAGGGAAAAAAAGCGGAGAGAAGGAAGGCGACCCATCTGCAAAAAAAAAGACCATAGAGATCTGAAATAAAACGGTTAAAACAACCCATACTAACACGAATATGCGTTTAGATTTGGCGTTTCCCCTTGTACTTAAAAAAGAAAGGTAACTGAGAAAAACAAGGTTTTCTGCAGTATACCTGAGATTCCGATACGGGGGAGATTTCTTTGAAATGTCCACAACAGAGTACACAAACCAAAACATGAAATCAACTATCATATCTGAACACATCTGGCACAGCTTTCCTTCTTGGCATGGTGTCAGGTTTCAGTACTTCCTCTACGTTGAGGGAAGTCAAGCGCTTCCTACTGTTCTACGTCATGTAGAACTGTAGTGTATGCTTGACAGGTGTACTGGAAGGGCACAAGATAAACTCCTGAAGGAGTGTGTCCAAAAAGAAGAAATTATTTTCTTCTTCCTTTTGCATCGCTTCTCTTATTATCGTTGGGACACTGAGAAGTGGAACAAAGTTGCAGAAGTTATTGCGGGGCGACCACATCGTATCAAATCTAGGCCCTCTCTGAGTACTCCAGATGAATGTGGCCTCATTGAAGGCGACGAATTTCGTGATCCTAGTGTCGAAAGATGAGGACATCATTGCTTTCCAGGTGATGAGGATATTATCATTCCATATTTCTATCGTGTACACTGGCAAATACTTTACATATACACATAAACACGCCGTGTTAGAGGAGATGATGTAGCAATCCTTGTCCGCAGGACGCTGAGCTTTCACCGTATACCCTTTACAATTCCCGACTGTGACTCTAACACCAAAGCAGTAATCGTGCAGAAGGTGACTCTAGATGACAACAGAGGCATGATTGTTGCAATTCTTTACTTGCTACCCCACGGAAAGTGGTTTCCAAATCATTGGGCGGCTAGTCATGTAATTCCTTCTACTGAACCTGCTCCTCCTTTGTGGGAATATCAATTCCAAATAATCCATGGTGGGAACCTTTCCTAGAACCTTCCCCAAGGGGGGACACAGCAGAGAAACCACTACACCTCTGCACGTATACGGGACACCCTTATGCTGCCTAAGGCATCTGAGGAGCTTACGTTTACACGCGGTAAAACGAAAAGATCCTACGTTGATCTAACAAGGTCACAATTCCTTGGAGTGTTAAAATGAACATCATTTGTTTCAACGTTCAGTGACCACTGCATGCTTACCTTCAACCTACACTTGACTGCAAATATAGCAACCCCCTCAACAGCAGACTCTTCACCAGAGTGATTCTTCTACATCTGGGAAAAGTACAATTGGGTTTCCTTCAACAAAGAGTTTGATTTACTGCTTTTACGACACAATCACTGCTAAATAATGCCTAATATTGAAACTTTTGCGTGCCCTTTCGAGTTACACTGCGGACGCACTATCCACGAGGCATGCATCCTGAGGGTCACACCACTTGGGGAGACCACGCTGAAGGAAGCAGATCATCTTGACGATGATACAAAGGCCCACTGCCCAAGACTTCCCTCACAAGACCACGAAGTGGAAGTGTAAATAGGAAAGAATCATTATCTTCAATAAACCAGAAAAAAGAGATTCACACACATATGTATCATCAATGTCTCAGTAGGTTGAACCTCAGAGAACACCTATTCTAGTGGTATATGTCTGGAGAATATTGAGCATCCTCTCCGTCAGTCACATCAACGTTAACCTACCACGGACAGCATCATTTTTGAACCACAGAAAAGACGGCAAGCACATTTAATCGTGTTTTTTTTTTTTTTTCTTCCTTATAGACAAAAACTTCTTTAACGGTTTCAACAAAAATTGAACTCTTCCTCAGGCTATTATTTTCCCCTCTTCAAAAATGGTCACGCAGGAAGACACATTCCACTACGATACCAGGAGTGCGATAGGTTCCTCTACACCCTGTATAGATGCACGGTCCACAATACCAGAACTATGCGCCGCCTTACGTGATATACCACTCGAGAAAGTACCCGGACCTTATGAGGTTTATGGCGAACCGTTATGGCACTTATCTGATAAATGCCTACAATTGTTAATTTGTTCCATTAACGACAGTTGGAGAACTAGCCACATCTCGCATCAGTGACGGTAGGCTATAATTGTACCGCTCCTGAAGCCCGGAAAGTCATCAGAAGCGTTAGATTCGTACCGTCCCATTAGTGTTATCTCTCTCGCAAATGAAGTAGCTGAGAAGATGGTGTTGAAGAGAGTGCTGTGGGTATAGAAGCTACACCGACACCAATAGTCATGCCACTAAAATGCAATTGCTTCATCTGATAGATGAAATTGAACACAACAGGAATTATTACCACGAGGTTCAACTTGAAAAGTGGAAAGGGAATACAAGTAGACTATACATCATACCAAACTCTGCTGATGCTTATAGATTTCAGTAACATTTTTGACTCCATTGATCATACAATCTTGGCCCAAATACTTGTACATATATCTGGAATGAATTGCAGGAGATGGTTATTACATTTTCCTTTCCAAATGCTATGCAAAGACATAAGTAGTATGCACTCACAGTGAGAGGAGGAAAATGTCACGAGGTGTACCAAAGGGATCTCTAGTGGGGGCATGTTTTTTTTTTTGTTGTTTGTTTCACTCTACCTCTATCCACTCCTCAAATTAATGAATGCCTACCCCGATATCCCCTAGCAGACATTTATTGTAGTGATCTGTAAATCACCATGAGGGGTCAATCGAAAGAAAATACAGCCCCAATGTCAAATATAGTACCCACTAAACTGCACGAGTGGAGTCAAACTAATGGCCTTTACTTAAACCCTTCAAAATGTGAAGCCCTGTGGTTCATCCTCTCTCTCACTCTCTCTCTCTCCACACACACAGACATACGTGCACAGAATGAACGATGATTGTTATCAGTAGGCTAAGTGACCCATTGTGATTGCCAGATGCGCTATCACGACCACAATGGGTCACTTAGCCTACTGATAACAAAGTTCCTCAGCGTGCCGTTGGATCTGCGGCTAACAGTCATTGTGGCCTCATCCAAGCAATGTGCCTCCACAGCCACACATATATCTCAACTAAAATTCATTCCTCAAAAAGGAGTAGGACCCAAACTACATGATATTCGAACATTTGTCATTAGATATGGATCTTCTTAGCTCCTATATACCGGCTACCTAACATGGGCTCTCACAACAGATTCCACCAAAAATACCTTAAAACGGACTTGAACAATTTTGGTATGAATGGTAAGCAGAAATCTGAGCACAACTTAGCCAAAGAAGTTTCAAGATAATTCATAATGCTCTCTCATCACGCAGGCGGTGCTCAATACCTAGAGTTACTGAATCTAAATCTGATAGATCTTGTGAAGGGTGTCGTGTCCACTGAAGAATTTGTTTATGGGATGTTGGTTGTCTCCCCGTTAGGATATCTACAAATTCGTATATCAACACATAAATCATCTGAGTATTATAAGAGATAAACTGTGCAAAAAAAAAAAAAAAAACAGGTTCGTAAAGAGCTCCTTCCTCATATAACCAAGAAAACTCAGCTTTGTAGATCAGAATAGAAGTCTAATTGCCTATGAATCGCACAATGACCAACGAAAAAGCACTTCTACTCAAGCAAAGACACATCAACTTCAATACCCCTGCACATCATAAACACCGTATATATGTTCTCTCCACTGATGGTAGTGTAGATGTCGCTTTCTCAGATGGAGGGAGGATACTGCTCTCTTCCCATGACTCCACCGAGATCACTAATAAAAAAAACTGGAGACTGCGGAACGCAACCCTGTGACTACAAAAAGAGAATTACGTGCCATACTACTTGCACTACATTGATTGGTTTTACCCTGTAAAGCACACCCAGAAAAAATTTCTCTCGGTTGAGGTGACAAAGAGTCAATCCCTCCTTATTGCCCTAAACAAGGGCTCACTCTGCCAGACCGAGAGGACGGAGTATCCACACTATCAACCCTCTTTAACCTTAACTCAAGCTTGATGAACCGTACATAAATAGTTTCGTTATATATATATATATTCTGGAGTACGAATATACGAGCCAGTAGAATAATATGAAACAGATTTCTTGACGTTTAACTCTTACAGATGAGGGTATACCGTCACTGTGGTGTGCAGAACCGCGTAACCTTCTCACAACTACACTTACCAAAGAGTAGCGAAGTAGTCTACATCAAGACACAAACCATTATCAACTATGCGAGAACAAATCCTCACATCTTAATGGTATGAATCTCATCAGAAATGAGGACCTTTCAGACTAAGAAACTCTACATTTAACGCACCAAGATGCGGTAATTCGGTAACATAGGGGATCACCTTTTATGGACAGTAAGAGACTGTGCGGACACATGCGTACCCTGTCATATATCCACATAAAAATCCACAATAATGTCACCCTTATCCGATCCACCAGCGCTGTATGTTGACTTACAAACATATTAACCAATCCGAGAAAAGGTAACTAACAAAAGTAAAACAGTCAACTGATTGTAGGCAGGTATAGTCTCCACAATGTGACACTATTTTTGTACGTTACTCAACTCTCCTCTCTCAGAGCAAATAATGCCACCAAAAGATCTTCATGATCACGTCTGTAACACCGTATGACTTCTCTGAATTGGTCTTTTTCTTGCGAAGATGCACGACGCAAAAGGGAAAACGCCCCACGATGAGAAGAAAAACACACAAAGATGTAAGGCAATCGAAATTGTGGATCGGTAATATGACCCCTCTTAAAAAAGATAAACTAGTCACAATAATAACGATACACATCCGCCATGAGATCCTGTATGAACAACTCAGATAATACTTAAAACGTCGTAATAATCGTCGTCGTTTGCTATTCAACATATATTTCCAAATGGCATTGGGCCGTCAGAGGTGCTGATAAGAGAAAGCGGAACAATAAGGGCGAAAATGAATGATAAGACGATAGTTAAAACAGGGAAGAAATAGTGAATGTCATGCGAATATAAGATTACGTTGAAGGGAAGAAAAAAGAAATGAATGCAGTTTTCGGGGAAAAACGTGAACGGTTGTTGAGATGAGTAAAGAATATGTGTGAAAAACAGGTGTTTTCCACCTTTTATGTATGGTAATTGTGTCGTTGCTGCTTTCATTGCACCTTTCGTAGGGATAGCAATGGATATGTGTCTCTTACTTTGAGTTTTGTTTTATTCCTTTGCATTTAATATCTCCTTTTTACTGCGGTTCAACTGCGTAAAAGGGTCTCCCACGGTTATGTTTGGGGATACCATTTATAAACTAATTTTTGGCCCCCTCCTCATCTCTCTGAGTGTCCTGGTTTGTTTGTTTGTCTGTTTCTGTGCGTGCGTGCTTATGTTTTTGCTTCTTTGTGTCTTCGGTTGACGTCATGACAGTGGTGGTTGGGTCTGGCTGAAGCCTCCATGACACTCCGTTTGCATGCGATTGTTATTTCTCTATTTGGTTACTCAATTAGTCACTCACTCTTACACTGTATGCACCTGAAGGGGAGTGAGGGGTGGTAGTGGTGCTGTCAAAATACCCAACAGAAGGTATATTGCGGATTTTCTCTTTCTTTCCTCTTTTTTTTTCTTTTATTGCTCTCCAACAGTTATATTGAGACGATGGATCAACTCATCTCAGTCGTCAATGAGCTTCACGATGCCTTCGCAAATGTGAAAATGAAT